TCCTTAGTATTATTGTCCATGAGATTGATTGAGTTTCAGAATGTTATATTTGTAGACGCTGAAATTTTATTTACATTCATGTTGTTTTGTAATGTTCTTTAAAAAAAAAAGAACACGCTGTCCTCACCGTCCCGTGATGATTGTTTAAAAAAAAAAATCTACCGCTTACGGCACAGTTTCGATGGTGATCTCTATTTTCTATAATGTTATAGATGCATCCAAAAATAAGTGTATTTATTGTTTTTGAAGTGTGTTATAATAAAAAGCTGAGACTATATATATATTGTTTACTAAAAAATTCTTATTCAAATTTAATTTCTATTTCTATTTCTCATATTTTATTTGTTTTCATTTAGAAAAAGCATATAATGATAGAAAGAAATATTCGAAATGTCTTGTTATAGTTGGTGGTGGTAATAATGGTGGTGATGGTCTTGTATGTGCACGTCATTTAAAATTATTTGGTTATAATCCATTAATTTTTTATCCTAAACGAACTGATAAACCATTATATAAAAATCTTCTTCTTCAATGTGAAAAAATGAATATTGAAATAATTGATAAAATACCATCGGAAACACAAATTAATTTAATTATTGATGCTATATTTGGTTTTGGTTTTTCTGGTGAAATACGTGAACCATTTAATGGTATACTTAAAGAAATAAAAATTTTAGAAAAAAAAATACCAATTATTTCTATTGATATACCAAGTGGTTGGGATGTTGAAAAAGGTCCATTAAATGATAATTGTATTCAACCGGAATGTGTTATTTCATTAACAGCACCAAAATTATGTATGAAATATTTTCAAGGAAAATATCATTTTTTAGGTGGAAGATTTGTTCCTAAAATTTTAGAAGATAAATATAAAATAATACTTCCTGATTATATGAATAGTGAACAAATCGTTCAAATTTAAAACAAAAAAAAAAATATTTGTCTCTTTTCTTTTTTTCTATTTATATTTTTAGATGTCACCATTATTAATTATTGATCCTCGACAACCACTTACGATTGATTCATTTGAATTTCTTTATCATTCTATTGCAAAAGATATTAATTCAATATATGGACCACTTAGAGATGGTTTAGCACTTCTAGCTGGTTGTTATATATTAAAAAAACTTTTACCTTTACCATATTATTTATATCGAACATTAAAACTTTATTTTTTTCCATATAAAATTAATTCAGTTCTATTAAGAAAACCATTAATAACAAGTTCTAATAGTAATAATTTATCTCAATCAGATTATGATGAATATTGGGCATTAATTAATGATTGTACAACACCAAGTGGTTGTGCATTTGCACAAAATTTAGCTGTAAATATATAATTTTTTGAAATTTTTTGAAATCTTTATTTTTTTTTTATTTAAGAAACGTGGTTATAATCTTATATTAGTTTCAACAGAAGAATTTCAAGAAGAATTAAAATTACTTTCCATACATATTGAACGTACATTTTTAATTCGTACAGTTACAGTTATCTATCGATGGAATAGTCCATATCAACCACTTGAATTAACAACACCAACACAAACTGTAGCTGGAACATGGTCAACAAGTACACCACCAACTGTTGGTCAAATACCATTATCAAATAATTTTCACCGTGCTGGTTCATTTGATCGTCTTGAAACAATTGAAACTATTGCACGTAGTGCAAATCTTGTTCTTTATATTAATTGTACACGACCATTTAATGATCAAAATCTATCTAAAACACTCAATCCAGCTGAATTTCAATCGATTGTTAATAATTATCTTATACCACCTATGTTATTAGCATATATCGTGAGTTGTATTTTTTTTTTCTACTTAGGGAAATAGGTTATACAACATTTGCACGAAAAATGAGTTGTATTAAGTTAATGCATTTGCTAAAATTTCATTAACTATTCTGTGACTGGAGCTGTTGGAATGGAATGAAGAGAGCGGAAACTCTACTGTCTACAACCATACTTCAAAGTCACTCAGAAACATAGATCTGCACCCCACAGCGTGAGATATCAGTTCCTAGTTCCGTTCTCAGGAATTCGGCGAGAGTTCCCATTCCTACTGTTAATAATGAAGGCCGCTTGTTAAAAAAAAAAGAAGATTGTGAAGTTACTGAGTATATTATTAGTTTTAACTTTGATTTAATCTTGTAATGAATATTTTTGACGTAAATGTAATAATTGTTGGCGAAGCTGTTCTTAAAAATCGACAGTTATATGGAGTCCGTGTACAGTCTCTATTTTGCTCCGTATATGGTCACGGCGATATACGATCGTAATACTGGACCATGTAAACTGCCAAAATACGGCCGTTTACGGTCATATGAAGAGCACATACGGTTGTTTACAGGCGTATACGAAGTCCGTAATCATCGACATGGGAATTTATCTTTAAATCCATTCCAGGATGAGTGTCATTGATTTTTAAGATTTAAATTTACAAACTATTGTAAGGCAATATCACCTAATAAACTCACAGCGAATCAGATTTTTCGATTTAACATTAATCTGGTCAGGTGATTTTGATGATGGATGGATCAATCAATGCATCAGTTGATGTTGTTGATGATAATTGTAAATGCTGTTGTGATGAAAGTAGTGCCCTGCGGTTCCTAAAATTTTTCGAAACCGAGAAAAGAATCGACAATTTTACCGTAACATATAAAATACCGCGTTATGGAGTTAACGGTTCCGGTTCTACCCGGTTTTTTTTACGGTTCCGGGTAAGAGAAATAGAAAAATCCGGTCCTCGGTTCGGTTCTCGATTCCAATTTTTTTGGAACTGCAGAGCTCTAGATGAAAGAAGTACTTGTTAGGCACTCATATGTGTTTTCGTTGTTCACACATTTATTCAATAATGATCATCTTCATCTGAATTACTTGTTCCAACAAATTTTCTAAATTACTCAGTAACTTTATAATATTCTTTTTCGATAACGAAGCACTAATATAAATATCATATCAGCAAAAGCTAACACTAGAAACCCCGCTACTTAACCCGAATTAAAAGAATAGGTATGGTTAAAAATCTCAAGAAACGAATTTTCAAGTGAATTCCCGTTCCTTAGGAACGAGAACTGTGCCATCTCTAACCCACTCCAAAATTCTCATCCACACCCACACCCTCTAATGAATATATCTTATTTTATATTTTGATTTCACAAACCAGGGAAATAAACTCTTGAAAGTTTCTTGATACTTGAGAAAAAGAATTTTTTTATAAATTCAAAAATTTTCAATGAAATTTTTCTTACAAAAAAAAAAACTTAGGTTCTACCATATATGTCAACACGACATCGACCTGCATATCTTCTAAATATTGTTCCGCATCCATCTTGTCTTAATTCTACGCTTCATCGTTTATTAACAATTTATTTTAATGCACGTAAAGATGAATATTCAAATAATGGTTTACTTCATTTTCAAACAGTTTATTTACCTATTCGATGGATTTGTTCATCAACAAATGTATGTAATGTAGAAAATTTTCAAAAATATATTTTATCTAAACATGGTTTAAATGAAAATAATGAATTAATATGGGGTTCATGTAAACCACAAATATATGTTGATACAATATTACGACAATTAGGTCGATGTGATCGTAGTGCTGGTTATTGGTTGAATGCTCTTCATATAACATGTCTTTCAATTTTACCAAGATGTATTTCACATAAACTTATTGATTATTGGATGACAATGAAATGATTAGATTTAATTTATCTATCGTTGTTTTGTGTTTTTCGTTTTCTCATTGACAAAAGAAAAGAAATATATAAAAATCAAAAGAAATAATTCTTCTGTTTTTTTGTTTTTATTAATCGAGAATAGAAATAGTAGAAGACTTATAATTATCATCATAAATTGCATATTAATCTATAGAATAGATGAATTTTATATACAAATGAATTCAAATAAAAAAAATATATTAAACAATATTCTCTCTTTTGTTGTTAGTAAGTTCGAAAGATTTTTAATTGTAAAAAAAAATTTATTTATCGAAATATGAATAAAAATCAAGAATTCTATATATATATATTATGAAAGGATATAAAAATTCAGTATTTAGTTAACTGCATTTAACACTTATATTTTATTGTAGATCGAAAAGAGATTTTACATTTACTCATCAAATCAATTAAATGAAAGGTTTTCATAGATTTATAACTCTATAAGAATCTTTTCTACTCTCACTGAATCCTACTTATGAGAAAAATAATAACACTTCGATCGGCGATTAACAGTTGAATATGTTCATTCATAAGCGGTACTCATAGTTCAAAATAAAAAAATCCCTGTACAGTAAATAGAATGTATGTTCCGAAGTCAAACTCAGGTTTCAGTTTGACAGCTAAGTGTAAATTCCTAGCGTTTCTGAAGGTATATGGGTCGTTATAAGCCTTTTCATTCGGATTCTCTTTAGTTATTATCTGCCCGGATAAAGTATTCTAGTGTCCGACTCCATGATTTTCCAACCGGAAAACTCCAGAATATGATAGAAACTGAGAAGCAGTATTATGATGATTGTATCCAACGGCTGGCTCTAGTCGGCTATGGGCTGTTCGTTGCTGTAAGCAGGAAAATTCAGCCACTAGATCCGAACATTATATATCTGCCTTCACATCTTCCTACTATTCCCTAGAATCTTCAAGTACAGAATCAGTCATATATCAATCATCTATGTGGAAATGATTGAACTTGAAATTGGTTCGAATTCGAAGTTTTAAACCCAAATATGAATTCAAGCTTCAGCTATATTCACCAAATCTCAAACATTTGTATTTCATTTATATTCAGTGTTTTATTCTGTGTGAAAGCCAAAGGAACGACGCTCTTGCGAAGATCAAGTTGATCCATCTCGAATTTGTGATTCTTGTATTATATACTATGTGTGTTTATGTCCTCAAAAATGAGTGTTTGTCGCTTCGGAAAAGAAAATCTAAATAATCCACTGTTTATTATTCTTTAATAATTATTTAATTTTAAGATTAATTTCTCATGGAACTTGATGAACAAACTCTTTTACAATCATTAATAAAAAATTCATCTGATGATTTATCAACAAATTCAATTGATTATACATCATATCTTTCTTATCTTCAAACATTATTTACATATGATACAGAACGTTTACATCGTGAATTAGAATATTTAAATGATGAAAAATGTTCAAAATCAACACAAATGTTATCATTAATATTTAATAATTATTCAACATTTATTCAAACAGCTGAATGTTCAAAAAATATTTCAAATGATTTTTCAACAATTGAAGAACGTTTATCAATTATATTAAAACAACTTGATCAATTTTCATCTTGTTGTCAAAAATTTATACGTGAAACAGAACAAACAAATTATTTACGTAAACAAAATATGTTTACATTACAAAAATATCCACAATTATTAGAAATACTTGAAATACCACAATTAATGGATACATGTGTACGTAATGATTATTTTGATGAAGCACTTGAAATAGTTACATATTGTAAACGTTTGGAAAGAAAATTTTCTTTATCAACAAATAAAATAATATTATCAACAACAACTTCACATATACCAATTATAATAAATATTGTTAATGATGTACGTTTATCACTTGAATATATGCTTGAACAATTAATAAATCAACTTCAAACAAATATACAATTACCAGCTTGTTTACGTATAATGGGTTTTATTCGTCGTATGGATATTTATAATGAACTTGAATTACGTCTTTGTTTTCTTCAAGCACGTACAAATTTTTTACATAAACGTTTAGGTTTAATTCAACAACAATATTCATCAACAAATATGATTGATTATTATGAACATGCATCAAAATATATTGATGAAACACGTAATATACTTTTTGATATTGTTACACAATATCGTGCATTATTTAGTGATGATGATACAACATTATATGTAACATTTAATCGAAATGAATTTATTAAAGAAACAAATTTATTTCGTTCATGGCTTATTTATCGTTTAAGTGAATTTTTAAAAGTATTGCAAATTGATTTACAACATTGTAGTGGTAAGAAATCATTTTAATGAAACACACGGATTTAAATAGAAATTTGGACCATTCACAGACATCTTAGGAATATTTTTATATGCCATAGATCGTAACAAGATGTTGATCTATGATCACTAACTGTATATATCAATAATGTCTTGTTATAATATATGAACTACTTCTTTATTGCATTTCAGAAGAATTCATATTTCAATCTCGCGTAGATTACGCTAGGAATGCAATGGTGACGATAACCGCACTTACGGTTACCGGTTTACCTACGACAACCGTAGGTACGGTTATTAGTTCAAGAAGAAAAGAGTTTTTTTTATAAAGGTTGATGAAAGTAAATCTGAATTGGAAGTCGGTTCTTCGATCTGAGCTTTCATTGGTCAGAAACTGGATCAATAAGAAACGAGCTTTTTATATGAAGATTTTTCGAGCTTTTAATAAAATTTTGCAATAGGTTGTCAATATCCAGGAGTCCGAATCTGAAGTCGGCTTTTCGAATTGAGTTTTCATTCATCAAAAAACTGAATCAATGAGAAACGAGCTTTTTTTCCCTTCGATTGAATTGTGGATCATATGAAATAAAATGAATTTATGATCTGGCAGTCATTAGGATAGAGTCAATTCGGCCAATTAAATATTTTCGATGTTTGGCTATTAGTCTGTCAAGCTTTGTTTATTTCATATCACTTTCCTTCAGGCGAAGGAAAAAAAGCTCCTTTCTCATTGGTTCATTTTCTGACTAATGAAAGCTCAGATCGAAAAAAACCGACTTTAGAGTCGGATTCCTTAACCCCAATTTACTTTCATCAATCTTTATTTTAAAAAAAAATCGTTATTTTCTTAAAAAAACTCTTTCTTGCGTGAAAACCGGCTTGAACCGATAACCGTACCTACGGTTATCATAGTTGGACCAGTAAAACAGTGACGATATGCCGGTGAATGATCGTCACCATTGCATCTCTAGATTACGTTAATAACTTTCTTTTTTTTTGTTTATGTAAATGAAAATGAAGAGAAATAAAGTCAATAAATTTAAAAATTTATCTTCCGAGTATTTCGAAGTATAATTCGCATGTTTCTAAGATCTCTTTAATCTTTCAGGTTTTTGATAATGTTTTTCATTATATGCAGATTTTTCCATAGTTAAACTTGAAATCTCAATTTTTTTATTTACTTCTTTTCTCTTTTATGACAAACAGTTGGCTTTCATCCTTAAAAGCTGAGGAAGGATCTTTTGACAGTGATGTTAAATCCTTAAGATACTCATACTATATTATTAATCAAGATTAAAAAAAAGAAATGATTTAAAAATCTTAAATATAAATAGGTTCACAATATCAACGACTTGAATCTTTACTTGGTCAAGTAATGTATTTTGGTGCATCATTTTCTCGATATGGTTTTGATTTTCGACCATTATTTATACAATTTTTTTCTCGTACAACTTTAACAAATTTTCAAAATTCACTTCATGAAGCTAATCATTTATTTGAACAATTACTTAATTCATATACATTTGATCAATATGTTCAATTAACAACATTAGATTCTTCAACAATAACAATAAATCCATTTTCACCACCAATGATTCTTGTTAATTATACTCCATTAGCTGTTTATTGTAATGTTTTACTTACAGGATTTAATGATCTTCGTCTTTGTTGTCCTTTATCAATTGTTTTAACTATTAAACAACTTATTACTGATTCATTAATACATATTAGAAATATTTTAACAAATTATTATAAATCTGAAAAAGTAACATTAACTGTTATTGAATCTGAACATTTCATTGATTTTTTACGTATATTTATTAAAATATTTATTCCATATATAAGTAGTTGTATTCAAGTATTATTTCCTGATGCACAATTAGCTCGTGAATTAGGTGTATCAGTTTTGGATATAAGTGAAAAATCGAAATTAAATCAAATTAATATTGAACAAATTATTGAACCAATTAAAAATATAATTGATTCTGTAATGTCAAAAAAAAAGATTCAATCAAATGAAAATAATATTTCATCAGAAATAAAAGAACACATTCCAATATCAGAAGAAGTACAACAACAACAAGAACAACAAGATGAACAAGAAAAAATAGAAGATATTGATAATAAATCTAATATAGTTGAATAATAATATATTTAAATCTCTTTTTGTTTTTTAATAATCTTATCTTTTTATTTCAATAAAGTTAACAGGGGAAAAAACGGGCGATATATATTCAATAGATTTTGATGTAAATATTTAATTAAACACTATTCATTTTGTTCAAATTATCAAATCTAGGATGTAAAAGTAATAGTCGAAATCTCAACTCATGGTTTACTAATCAAAAATATCATGGAGATTTTCATACTGAACGAGTAAAGTTTGAGATTTAAAAAACATAGGATAAAAAATTTCTTTGAAATTAACTGTTGAATGAGAAAGAAAGTTCTTACAACTTCTGTCCTGCTTTCTATCAAAACAAAGACGTATAATACACATTGTTTATTGTTAAAGAATTCTTAAGAAACATTCTAAAGTATGAAAGTCGATAAAGTTTTGTAATGATCGCTTTCTCATCTTTTTGGTTTTTAAGAAAAAGTTTGATTTTGTTTTTCAGAATTCTAGAAAAAATATAAGAAAAACAGTATGTTTCATATTGAACTTTTGCTCTTACTAAAAGTTAATTTCAGAAAATTTTTTTGAAGTTTAAACTGTGCTCTTTTAATACACAAAAGAATGAACTTTCTACAATATTTCCAAGCAGAGAACTATGAGTCGAGATTTCGATAATTACTCTTGCATTGCAGATTATTTATATTCGATAATATTCATTCTAATCTTATTTGTATGATAGAAAATTGAGAAAAAAAAATAATAAATGCATTCTAACGATATATCGTCTATTTGATTTATGCTCTATTCTATTGTAACACTTGTAAGTGCTTACAGGAAAATCGAAAGATAGGAACAAAAGAAGCGGAGAAAACAACAATCTAACGGAGGAGCGTAGAGAAAGAAACCGGTTCAACAAAGAAGGGAGGATCACAAGTAGAGCTCATTGGGTGCGGATTTGAAAATTTTGTTTCGATCAGGTGGTCCGGGGCCAGAGATCCTTGGACTTGATGGGTTTTACCCATAAAAAGATCAATCGATTAGGTTCAAATTCAATAATTGTTGAACCCGATGGACTCTAATCGCAAGATCATGCGTTTGTTTTACACTAGAGGGTTTGACCAGTTCTGGAAGCATAGTTTTATGAACGAAGGATAAAGCATGACTCTGCAAAAGTGAATTAACTAATCTTTAATCTTTTGTTCCACTTTATCGAAAAAAAATGATCAACATTATCATTAGTAAGTTTATGAAAATTATTCCAAATAAAACCATGTGTTCTAAAACAGCGAGAAATCTAAATCGAATAAGTACATATTATTTAATCTCGTTGAGATATAGTGTTTGACATAGTTTTCGAGTGGATCTCTTCGTGAGTAAACGAAAAAAGATTCGACGTACCTATGAATAGAGCACAATGAACTAGATGAATTGCTGCTCTAAATATGGCAACCAAGAGATACAGGGCCGATTTCATAGCTAGAATCCTTTCGTTTCTAGTTACACTCTTGTCTTGTCAACTGGTTGTAAATCATCTTTCTGCATCTTTTGAAATGAGTACAGAGTTCTCGGAGGAAAAAATGAGTATCAATGATGCTTTTCATGATTGTTATGCTCATTTTTGTAGTAATAATAAATAAGCCTGATCTTCCCGACAGACGCTGGTTGTTCCAGGGTGTTGAAGCCATCGTTTGGATCCCTAAATGAGCTTCTCTTGAAGTGTGTGTAGGATTATGCCATGAAAATTTTCTTTGCAAATGAAGATATTCTAATCCCTTTATGATTTTTCTCTATGTCGCGAATTTCTTGAGAAATTTCAAAGATCATTTTTGCTCAGTTCTAAATTCGACGTCTGTCTACCGACAGATTTGAAAGATTTATAGAAAAACACATTGACGTTTCAATAATAATATTCACCATTTCCGGTAAGATATTCGACAGATATGATCGGAATCAATGGCAACAGAGTACGACGCCAAAAAAAAATTATTAAAAACAATTCGTATGAAATTTACATCAAAAAATTCTCTCGGGGAATTTGTTTTTTGGGAAGTCATATGTGTTCGATCAACGGTTTGTATTTATGCGTCAAAAAACAAGGGTACATATTTACATTAACAAAAATAAATGTTTTGCAAAGATATTCAAAATTACTTCTTTTACGACAAAATTTTGTCGACATTGATGAGCAGAGAAGGTAGACACAAGGACAACACAGAGATTGACATGAAAGTTAGAATCAATTTTTGTAATATTCGATGTGATCAAACTTCTCTCGTAAGTGGATTATTCTTAGGAAAATATTTCTTTCCACGAACGATCTAATAACATAACTGTTGTAGATTACTAATTTCTCAACATATTACTCTCATGAAAAAACAATCAAACAATATAGAACATTTATTTAGATGATTTATTCTCTAAATGAAATGAAAAACGCAAAGATTTTATTAATAAAATATTCTTGAATAAAATAAAATCACACTATAAAAATATTTCATTATAGAATTGTTTTATTGTTCAAATACAAAAGTCAATATCCTTTGAATTGAATAATTTATAAATATTAAAATCGTATTAAGTGTTCAGGTCCTAATGCTGACGATAATGGATATTGTGCAACTCTATGAGAAAAAAGATAGTATGAAAATTGAAATTGTTATTATAGAATTGATATTCTTACTGTCTGGAAAAATAAATATAAGTACCAATTGCTAATCCGGTAGTTAGTAACATACCAGAACCTAAACCAATACCTAAACCTAATTTTACTCGTCTTAATTCATCTTCAACTTCTCTGCAATTTGATGTTGATAAACTAACAGATGTTGCTATTGTTGTTGTTGTTGTTGTTGTAGTTGGCGTTGAACAAGTTGCATTCGGGCAATCTATCATACATGTGTAGCCTCTTTCACAGTCTACTTGATAGCATCTATCAAAACAACGTGTAGTTGTAGTTGTTGTACTAGCTAATAAAAATATTATATATGTATATTTATTAAAACTGTAAGAATAAGAAGATACTTGACATAGAAGTATATTTCTATTGAAGTGTACGAATTAGAAAGTAAAATTCATTATAAGAGATCAGTTAACCGCAAATGTTTTTTGATCCTTTAGGGAATTTCAGTTCTAATATAGAAAGTAAACTCGATGATTTAATATTTCTATTACTTGAGGAACTATTGCATTAGCACATAAGTTCTAAGCATTTGAATCAGTAGAATTCTATCGCCAATATAAAACTATATTTTAAGGGAAGTAATTATATATTCTGATAGAGCTCGAAATTCTCTATCACCCTATGTATTTAAGTGTTGACTTGCATTTATTTGCTGAAAAATTATTTTGAATACAGTGAAGACACCCTCATTCGTATTGACAATGTTCGAAATATTTTTCAGCAAATAAGTTCAAGTCAGATCTGAATATACAGGACGATAGAGCATTTCAGGAGCTCTCACAATATATAATTACTTTTCTAGAAAGCCGGATTACTGTAGAGATAAAAATTTTAGAAACACATCAGAACGGAACCAAAACTGGAGTTCGTGGGAATCTGAGGGTATCTTCACTGTATTCAAAATATTTTTTCAGCAAATAAATGCAAGTCAAGACTTAAATACATAGGGTGATAGAGAATTCCGAACTCTGTCAGAATATATAATTACTTCCCTTAAAATGTAGTTCTATATTGACGATATAATTCTACTGATCAAAACGCTTAGAACTTATGTGCCAATGTAATATTTATTTTCATTTGAAATGTAAATACAAATACTTTCATCCAAGTTATTTACTACAATAACGAATCATCTTTTCTTTAACCTTACTTGTAGTGGTGGTTGAAGTTGAAGTTGAAGTCGTTGCCGTTGAACTTGATGATGTTGTACTTGTAGATGTACTTGTTGCTAATTTTAGAGAAAAAAGAACATAAAATGATATTGATTAAAAATACATTAATAATTTATTTTTTATTAAAGAAAAGTATCAGATTTTTAATAAGAATTTTATAGATTAAGCTTGAATGATTGTTGAAAGACTATGAGAATTTTGAAAACGAATCTATAAAGTCTTAACGATAATTAAAATTTGCATGAAAGGAAGAATAAAAATTATCTATAATTATCTTTCGATTCAAATATTTATGATCGAACTTGTTACTATTGAACACAATAAATAACATGGCTTTTTCGACAAGTATTCGATGTCTACTTTCATTTTCCGTGAAAAATTCACGAATAACTCAAATCTGAGATTATTCAGATCGTTACTGAAAACTATTAGAAATAGAATTAATCCTTTAATAACTATTAACATTTATAGTTCATTCTATTTACTTGAAGATGTAGTTGCTGTTGATGTTGTAGACGTTGATGTAGATGTTGTTGTTATTGATGTTGATGTCGTCGACGCAGTTGTTGTTGTTGTTGCTGTCGTCAATGAAGTTGTTGTTGTTGATGTTGTTGTTGTTGATGCACTTGTTGTTGTTGATGTCGTCAATGAAGTTGTTGTTGTTGTTGCTGTTGATGTCGTCAATGAAGTTGTTGTTGTTGATGTTGTTGATGTTGATGTAGTCGACGCAGTTGTTGTTGTTGATGTTGATGTCGTCGATACAGTTGTTGTTGTTGATGTTGTTGCTGTTGTTGTAAAGGTTGATATTGATGATGTAGTGGTAGCAGTTGTTGTTGTTCCATTTACTGTAGTTGATGTGGAGGTTGTTGTTGTTGTTGCTGTCATTGCTGTTGATGTCGTCGATGAAGTTATTGTTGTTGATGTCGTCGATTCGGTTGTTGTTGTTGCTGTTGTTGATGTCGTTGATCCAGTTGTTGTTGTTGATGTTGATGTCGTCGACACAGTTGTTGTTGTTACTGTTGAGGTCGTCGATGAAGTTGTTGTTGTTGCTGTTGTTGATGTTGATGTTGTCGATGCAGTTGTTGTTGTTGCTGTTGTTGATGTTGATGTCGTCGATTCAGTTGTTGTTGTTACTGTTGTGGTTGTAGCAGTTGTTGTAGAGGTTGATGTTGATGTTG